GGGAGGGGGGAGAGAGAGAGAGAGAGAGAGAGAGAGAGAGAGAGAGAGAGAGAGAGAGAAAGTCAGTTTTAGTAAGAGTTTGAAGACACTTGCGACACAATAGGGTCATATAAGTGTTGAAATTCAGAGGTGTTACAAGAGAGTAAAAATAACAACAACAAAAAGGAGAGATCAAGACGATAGATGTTTGATAGGAAGAAGGAGCAAACTACATCAGAGTAACCGCCAACCGGGGAAGAGAGAGGGACAGAGAAAACCCTTTGAGGCAACTGTACGTCAGAAGTATCGTATCCACATTACAAAGTGGTATTGAATTGTTTCCTTTAACTTGAGTAAAAAGAAGCACATTGACACCATGACGACCATTCAGAGAAGGGAAAAGGCAAGAAACAGCAGAAAGGAGGAAAAGAAGTTGAACCTACCACCCTCACGAATGTTTTCAAGGCTGTTGAGCTGCAACCGAAAGGTTGTGGGGTGAACCCCATCAAAGGCACAACATGGTGTTCTTGGGGAAAGTGCTTTAAACAAACTTTCCTCCCTAACCCGGGAGGGAATGGGTACCTGGCTACAGACAGTGAAAGATCTTGACGGATAGTGTGTGTGCGCTTAATCAGCTGTTTTTATGGTGTGCTCCCCAAGAAGTCATGAATGATTTTGAATAATTTAGATTGTAAAGCGTACAGAGCTTGCTATTGAACGGGAATATCCACTATACCAAATATGCTATTTCTTATTATTTCTCAGCACCATCGACCTACCACACGAGAGAGCGAGCGCCAGTTCCAGGAGAGGACGACGTATTTCGTGTGGCCCTTCAGATAGGCCAGAAGCACCAGGGACGAGAGCCACAGGAAGCCACAGGGGACGAAGGTCAAGGCCGTTTCTTGGAAACATGACGTGAACTCCGGGTACCAGTTGTCCAATAGTAGGCTTTCATTCTGGGGAGAAAGTGTGCGGTTTTACTTTTTGTGCAAGTTTCACTTCCAATACAATTAGTCATTCAAGTGCCAAAGATGAGAAGTGTTACTAGAGAGTTACATACATAGAAAAGGGGAAGAGATGCTAGGATGATAGATGTTTGATAAGACAGAAGGAGCATACCATACCAGAGCACTCGCTGACCACTCATTTCTCTGTTGAAAATGTGTGGCAAACAGATCACGATGTTCTGTGTTCGTGCACCTTTGGGCGCTCAAAGGAAAGAACAAAGACATTATAATAACTAGGACGAGTATATATCCTTTTCTTAACATATCCCAGCTACCGGAATTTCAATCGTGAGACTGCGGGTTTGTGGACTCGAGCCTCAGCTTGGTACGCTGTTATGTCCTTGGTAATACATGTACACATTACACAAATATTCCCATTTGGTTAAGTCATATCGAGAGATGGCAGTTCAATTCACAGGTCGCATCTCTTAAATAACCTTACATACAGCGTTGCATATGGGGCATTAAACCTACATACTTTTTTTTCTCATTTTCCTAACCCTCCAAAGTATGGCAAGAAAATATGGGAAACAACTTCGGGCGCATCCTCAAGCTCACAGCCACATTCAAGCAGAAAGAACCATGTTTGAGGCTGAGTAAAGAGAAAACACATCGACAAGACGGGGGTCATTCAGGACTGGGGAAAAAACCTGCACATATCACTACATGGCATTGGACAGAAGGGCGAGAGCCCAGCTGTTGCTGGATCGATGATAACAACAACAACAACAACAACAGGACTGGGAAATGACTAGAAGATAGACAAAAAAGAAACACCGGAAAGGGGGGAGGGCGTGGGTAGAAAAGAAAGATACAACCACCCTCCTGCGGGTAATTCGTAACAAGGGAAGAGAGTCTAACTAAAGAGTCAGTATTCCTCCTATTAGTCCTCATAGTATACATTGAAATGTTGTTTATTTGTCTATTCAATTTGCATTTAACCTTTAAACAGCCTGACTCGGCCTAGTAAAAGAAATATGCAATGTCTGACGCCTGATAAGAGATATGTGTGCACAACCAGTACATTTTCATTATGGAAACTGTATTCCACAATTGAGTGTTCTATATGATGTGATGTGGGCCAATGGTATTAAACACTTAATAAACTGACTTACTAAACCTTTAAAAACATTTATTTTTTTCATAGACTTTGAGTTTTTTGTTTTTTTAAATCAATCTAAATTCAGTTTAAGAGGGGCGGCGGGTGGGGGGTGAGAGGTGACACCCACAGAGTTGTACAGTTCATCTTCGGTTCTAGAGATATTTAGAATCAAGAAGCCCCAATCTCACAATTATAGAATTTATTACTTCTACTTTCACATAATTACCATAAATTCACACAAGATATGCATATATGCGCCCCGCCCCCTTTTTTCGCTCTTTTTTTCACACAAAAAAGCATAAAGACAAACATTCCGATTAGAATCGACAGGATATGGATCAATAGGAACTCGCAAATGGTTTTACACCGAGGCGAATTATCTCGCCTCGAGGTACCATAGATTGTCTACTATTTATACATGTAGTAGAAAGTCTTTGGAGTTACCCGATACACCCACTTATAGGTCAGAAATAAACAGGAAAAAAAAAGATCAGACGGCAAAAGGCAAAGATGAGCAACGAATAGTACATGTAAGTGAGAGGGTGCCAGCGCTGCGTACGCACTAAGCAGTTATTAAACAGGTACACTTGTAGTTCCGCCGATACAACATACATGTACAAAGTTTTGTTAGTAATTACGTGCACACGATGTGTGTGTGTGTGTGTGTGTGTGTGTGTGTGTGTGCGTGCGTGTGTGCGTGCGTGTGCGTGTGTGTGTAAGTGTGCGTGCGTGCGTGCGTGCGTGCGTGCGTGCGTGTGCGCGCGCGTTGTTGTTGTTAGGGGGTAGTTTTGGTTTGGTCTTTTTTTTTTGGGGGGGGGGGGGGGGAGGAGGTTGTACACACATTTGTGTTTTTTGTGCACACGAGTGTGAGTTTGTGCACACGAGTGTGAGTTTGTGCACACGAGTGTGAGTTTGTGCACACGAGTGTGAGTTTGTGCACACGAGTGTGAGTTTGTGCACACGTGGGCGAGAAAGTTTATGCGTGTGTTTGTGCACACGAAATGTATGTAGGCCTACGTGTCTTGTAGAAGCAGTGGTAGTAGCGTCTGCAAATTTTATTAGGCAACTGGAACACGCAAAGGTCAAACAACAAGCATGAGGTGCCCATCAGTGACCAACTTGAAGCGGCCTGGGCCACGTGGAGAGGATTAAAATAACAATCTTACCAGTTTTTGGCGGTTGATTTTTTATGTGTATTTTTTAGTAAGTGTGTTTTACGGCACTTGCAACACAATAAGGGCATATAAGTGCCGAAGATTAGAGGTGTTACAAGATAATAACAAACACAAAAAAGGAGGGGAGAAGAGGACGACAGAAGTTTTGATAGGAAAGAATGGACAAAACACACCAGAGCACCCGCCAACCACCCATTGCTTGTTGGTTTTTTGTTTGTATTAGTTTTAGTAGAGGTTTTATGGCGCTCGCAATTGCATACGGTCATATGAGCGCCAGAAAATTAGAGGTGTTACAAGAGAGTAACAAACATAAAAAAGAAGGAGGGGAGAATAATGACAATACATTATAGATGTTTGATAGGAAAGAAGAAGCAAACCACATCAGAGCACCCGCCAACCACCCACGTTTTTTTATGAGAAGAGCAATGCAAGACAAATGGAAACAAAAGAAGGATGACTACCGAAAAAAAAGTTATCTAGTGAGACCAATACAGCTGATAAAGGTTAGGAGAGTATTCCAGAGAAAGAACGATGTTAACGGGACGTTAACGTTACAGGATATTATTATGTGAGCGAAGAGACGCAAAACGTTATAGACCTAGTTACAGATGTGTGACCTAGAATGTCATAAACGTATGTCCGACGTTGCTCTTGATCATGGCGCAGCGAGCTTCCAGCATAATTTGTGTGTGGGGGGGAGGGGGGGTCATGGCAATCAAGTAAATTGACACCGAAATGTATGAGGTTTGTTACTTAGTTGCGTGTACTTTCTGAAGAATATCAGAACTTAGTTGGGTTTTTGTTTTGTTTTAGTAAGTGTTTTACGGCACTTGCAACACAATAAGGGCGTATAAGGGCCGAAGATTAGAGGTGTTACAAGATAATAACAAACACAAAAAAGAGGGGAGAAGAGGACGACAGATGTTTGATAGGAAAGAAGGAACAAAACACACCAGAGCACCCGCCAACTACCCATTGTTCGTTGTTTTTTTTGTTTTTTAATGAGAAGAGCAATGCAAGACAAATGGAAACAAAAGAAGGATGACAACCGAAAAAGGGTTATCTAGTGAAGCTATTCTACAAGTCTTGTGCCTCGTGAAGTGGGAAATGGAGACCAGTACAGCTGATAAAGGTTAGGACAGTACATGTATTTCAGTGAAAGAACTATGTTAACGAGACGTTAACGTAACAGGATATAGACAGACAGACAGACAGACAGACAGACAGAACAAAAAAAGGGAGAGAAAAATTTCGGACCAGCGTGTGGCACCCTCTAACCTCTCTCAGTTCTGTGGCATGAGAAATCTTCGAGGGGAATGAAGACTGATAACGACCACCATGAACGACTCGTAGAACAAACTGCACTAAATAAGGGACATTCAAGTTCAACCTCGAGAGGACCCTTTGGAAGACCCCAGAACGCCAGAACGCAGAGCGCTGGCTCATCCCACGGCTCTCGCTTGATCAGAGCGTACGATCTCCCTCTTTTTCGGTTTTATTTTTACTATTTTAGTTTCAGTGCTGGCTGAATTTTAATTTTTAGTTTCAGCTTTATTTATATTTTTAGTTTTGGGTTTAACAAGCATTGGTTTTAGTTTTGGTTTTTAATATTAGATTTAGTTTCATTTTAGTTAAGCACGAGTTTTGCAGCACTTGCAACATAATCCATAATACTTGGATACCTGGAGGTGTCATCTCTGACTCAGAGGTTGACGTACATTAATGACCCTTCATCTTTCACGGTCGCGAGCTGCCGTTGCACATTATGCCATATCCACGCCAGTCCAGGTTATTCTTTGCCTTCCTCTGGCTCTCCTGCCCCACATCTTTCCTTCAAGCACCTCTTTAAATAGCCGAAAATTAAAGTGTGATGCTATCAAAGTCAAAGCAACATACAAAGAAACGAACAGGATAAATAAGGACGGTAGGTGTTTGGTAGAAAAGAGGGAGAAAATCACACCGCAGCGCCCGTCAACCACCTATCTTTTGCATAAAAAGTATTTGATTTTTTTTGGTTTTTTGTGCTTTTTTAAATACATTTTTTTCTTTTAGTAAAGAGAAGCACTGCAGCTGTAGTTTAGTGATGGGACTGTGAAAAAGCAGGATAGACAGAAACAACAATAATACATTTTTAAAAAGAAGTATAGGACCCACCAGTGGCGCCCTCCAACCACAGGTAAACTCAGCTATTGCTGTGGCACCTTTTGACCCGATCCTTTATTTGAGTGGAGAGAAGAATGTCGACACTGTAACAATAGTTTAGTGCTATGGAAAAAAAAAGTTATAGAGAAACAAAAACGAAGGGAAAGAATAGAAGTAGAAGTTGGTTCAATCAGTGGAGCCCTCCGACCACCAGCACGCAACAGAAAACTCAGGTGGTACTTACAATGTGACCCATTTGACCCTGATGTCTGCTGTGTCGCAATTCTTCGTAATAGTTTCTTTTTTTGTTTTGCTAGCTTCTTGATCTTAGGCAGCACTTACTTACAATGTGACCCATTAGATCTTGCAGTCTACTGTGTCGCTACTTTTCGCAATACCGTAGTTTTTTCTTCCTCTCTAGTTTCTTGACCTGCTTAGTCCAAAGAACATAAGAGGCAAAATTTGACGCAGTCAGGTTACAAAATACCCCCCCCCCCCCGATAATGCCATGCCTCCTTTGACACAAATTA